TTTTTGGGGGGGGGGGGGGGCACGTTCCTCTTGTATGTTTTGGCGCTGACCTTTGTTGGGGTGGAAGCAGAAGCTTGATTCTCTCGGGCGCGAGGCGTTGAAGGCGGCAAACGGCGCGGGCACGCGAGAGGCGGCGGGAGGAGGCGGCGGAGACGGCGGGGCGGACGACGGGGCTAGAGAGGAACGAGAGCGCGATGAGCGTGCCGTCCATGCTGCCATCCGCATCGTCAAGGAGGTGATTGCTTCGTACATGTTTTGGGCGCAGCGAATCTCTCTTTCGAGAAAACGCTAACCGACTGACCAATGGGAGACGTCATTCTCAGCGCGGCTAAAAATGGATAAGGCTTATATTGGCCATGTTCTGGCGTGTGTGTTATCTCGCGACCAACATGTGAACATGAAGTTCTTCTAGATGGCAGGAGGCACCGCGTGTTTTTTCCTTTTTTTCTTTCATTCTACCCTGCGTTGTAATCGCCATCCTCAGCACCATATCCGTGGCGGCCGCAATCGTTGAGCCATATGTCATTCATGGACCTTGAACCTTTAGACCGTGGGAGTTTATGGCGGCAAGCCTTGACTGAACCCTTACCGTATCCCTGAATTATTTTCGTTGGCTGAGCCTGCCTGGTTCGGGCGTTGCGCGAGGACAACAAGGCACCGTGAACCTTGTTCCGTGCGTGCGCGCGTGCGTGCGTGCGACTGACCCTCTTCGTTTGCGGTGCTTGAGGACACCACGGAACCGTGAAGCTGAAACCGCGTAACCATGCAAACGCGAGCTAGAACCACATCCACTTGCGTGCATGCGTGCACCGTCGTTGGCGGTGCGCGAGGACACCAAGTATCCGCGAGTCCTGAACCATTTTTTTTTTTAACACTTGGTGGCACCGCAAACCGCCGTTCCCCCCCCCCTCTCCAGGTGTGCATGTGGCTGAGCCTGTTCTTCGCCGCCCGCGAGGGCACCAAGGCGGCCTGCCAGGCGAGCTGCTACGGCGTCCTCTCGGACCTGAAGAGGGCGGCGGAGGACCAGAAGGACCAGCAGCTCCGGGCGCAACTTCACGACAGCATCAAGCTCCTGGCTTCGAGCTAGGGCACAGCTGCGATTGAGCTCGACCCTGATTTCCGCACAGAAGCTGATTCGACAGTGGCATGCTGCTGGCTTCGAGTTAGGGCATAGCTGCTATTGAGCTCGAACCTGATTTCCGCATAGCAGTTGATTTGACGGCGTCATGCTGCTGGTTTTAAGCCTGGGCAGGTATTTAGCTCGACCCTGATTTACGCACAGCAGCTGATTCGACAGCGTCAGAAGCTGCTGGCTTGAAGCTAGGGCGGTGCTGTTCATTGAACTCTGATTTCCGTACAGCGGCTGGTTCTTTCTTGGGATCATGGCCTGCCGTGGCTGAGGAGGGGGGGGGGGGNGGGGGGGGGGGGGGGGGGGGGGGGGGGGGGGGGGGGGGGGGGGGGGGGGGTGACTGGAAGTGGGTGTGGAAGTGTCGTGGATTGGATTGAGATTGAGGATGCCTTGACGCCTTGCTGCCCTTGGCGGAGTCGTTGTAGGTGTTGTTGGCGGTGGAACCATGATGTCGATGTTTCGGGTGTGGTGACACGGTGTAGACCGGTTTGCCCATGAAAAGGGTGAGGGGCATCAAAAGCGACAACTGCTGGATTTGTGGGGGAGTGTTGGTGTAGGTTCTTGTACGCATCGCAACTGTTTTTGCTTGAGGCGGCAATGGTGGTCGATTTTAGCGAGCGCTATGGAGTGCGAGTGGGGGGCACTAGCGGACACCCTCCGGTTAGACCGGTCGGCCTGCAATACACCTCTGCAACACATGAAAGTGGAAGCTGGTCANCGAGTGCTTAGAAGCACATTCAGACCTTCCGGATGGCGGGGAGGGGGGGGGGGGTTAGAAACACAAAAGCAGCATAACCTGTGCGAACCATAGGCAACGATCGGCGAGACGAGAGTTTCGCTTCTTCTCTTGACAAGGCGTACTTGTCGTTTTTTACACCCGCCAGCTTGCGACAAGGCCATCCATCGTGTGCTATTTTTTTTGTATTGTTTGTTTGTTTGCATTCCGTCATGGAACCACTGCATGAACCACTGCATGCATCGCCGTTGCAGGCGGTGGGGGTTCTGGGGGGCATGGCGTCTTTTTGCCTGTGTTGGTTTCGTACGCCGGAACCCGGTGCGTTCGTGCGCAGGCGCCGTGACGTGTGTGCGTGTCGTGTGTGTTGATGAAGTATTGAGACTGCATTCGCACGCTATTTACCCGCATTTTCAATCGAAAGGCAGATAAGCGAAAGAAGGTCTCCCAGCGGGAATGAAAAAACGAACAACTTTGTCTTCTTTTCTATAGATAGAGGATTTTCGTGCAGCAAGGATGGTAACGACCGCGCGGCACCCAGGTTGGCCAATGAAAAGACGTCAGTCTTGAGCGGCAAACAAAATCTAGTCCGTACCCCCTCCCCCGACGGGGGGGGTCCGCGGAGGAGTCTGTACTGCGTGTGTATGAGTTTTACCTGATCTTGGAGGGCGGGGGGGCTCAGGGAGGGAGCACTCCACGAGACGAGACGATCCACAGGGCAAATGGTCATCAACGAATGTCTTCATATTTTTTGCTTCCCGAGTCTCTGTTGTGTAGTTGTTGAAGTTACCGTTGTGTGCGTGTTTGTGTGCTTGTTTTGGCATGGACTGTCAAGCAAAGATCGGAGAAGATATCGAAGGCAGATCAGGGGGCTGTCCCTAGTTCTACCTACGTTCAGCTCCAGGGTTTTGTCGTTGGTTCGCAGTTTACCTCTTTGTTTGTCGTTGAGCGTAGTGTTTTGAAAAGATTACCGTTCTCGGTTTCTGATGAGAAAAGAGAGTATATTTTCATCGTGCTCTCTTTTTCGGTACGTCAACTCCAGTACAAGTAGCCGATGTGAGTTTGATCACCTGTGGTAGCCCAGGGACAAGACGAGTGGGGGTATTGGTGAGGGTGTCTGTGGGTGTCTCGCAAGGAACCTGTATTCTGTGTTGATTACTTTGCGTCCGATGTTTTTGACTCTTGCCTGTCACCCGAATGTCTTGCTGGTATAATCACAACCAGCCTTTGAGATACTGCTGTAAGTCGTGCTTTCGGCTCCTCTCTCTGTGTGGGGGGGGTCCCATCACATCCGTGGTAGGGCGGGGAAGGGGAGTGATGAAGTGTGGCAGAGAATCGAGAATTGAGGGGGAAGGAGAAACAAGCTAGTGGGGGGCGAGCATGGAGAGGAAATGAAGTTCCGCACTCGATCGATTCGTCGTTCGCAGGTTCCGAACGAACAGCTTCATCACACACAGAAGTAATGCCTTCCTCTGCTCAACTTGGCAACCACGGCTCAAGGTCGTGGGTTCGAGTCCCGGCAGGGTGAGTTTTTTTGTCACCAAAATAAATCCTGGTCTAAGTTGGAAGCGACGCGCTGCAAAGCTCGTTGTAAGTAAAACCTATCGACTTCAGAAGTCGCGAGGGAAGGGATTGCTGTGCCCTTCTCTCGATGAAAATATCTCAGGCAGGAACCGCAGGAGGGGGTCCAGCCCCCCCCTCCTATGTGACCCCGGTTTGGTCGTCAAGCTATTAGTAGAAGTGGAGGACGGGGGCCACAGAGGGGCAGACGACAGAGTCCAATGATGGGAGAGTGAAAAAAACACAAAAAAACATCGCCATCAAAGCGAGAGGATATTTCTTTGTCGTATTCTATGACGGCCGCGTGGCGGCCTTGTTTGCGACCTTCAAGTCTGCACGGACTCAAACGAAGAGTGTCTGCCTCCTTCATCGTCCGACCCGGTGCCCAGTGACTCATATCTCATAACGCGTTCTTGTCGAGAGTTTTTTGCCCGATTTTAACTGGCATTCACACAGTCGACGCCTAGCAGTAGCCTGTGTGCCACTCGAGAAGAAAACCGCCAAATAGAGGGAAATCTACAACCTTGCCGGACGTGCGTCTCCAAGCTCCAAGTACATAAATTGTCGTCGTTCTTGCCATCAACAAGGTCACTCAGAGCAGCTACGAACGGCGAATAACAACGTCCACTCAACACCGCCTCATTATACTCAAGATTATTCTCTCTCGAAGCACGCGTAACCTTCACCTTAAACGACTGCACACAACGGCGAGCTGCTTTTTACAGAAATTGAACATTGCCGTTGGCATACACACGTTATCCCCATTCGTTGCGCTTGATGTGCTGCTGCTACGTACTCCTTTGTGCCGAACTGAACCGATGCGACGCCCAATCGCGCCAACCGAAGTGCAGGACATCTATCTCTACCACTCCCTCACCCTCCTCCGACGCCGATACACTGCTCGCTAGAGGACGGGTCGTATTATCACGACAGCAAATCTCGCTAATTACACACACATCGAATACCACCCCCACATAACATCTCCAATACCTTACTCGAAAATACAAGTTTTATGGCTTGTGCCAACAGGACTCAATACGCACCATATCAACACTGGCGGGAATTCATATTCATTCACCATCGGTTCCCAGTTCGCTGATTGGTAAAAAAACTGGCCCGGAATTTCAACAAAACAGGCACGGCCGAAGATCCCTGGACAACGGGCAGCGTCACCCAGGGTCGAAAGGCCGGGATCCTGGTACAATTGATGGATGAAATGTGACCAGACAGACTCGTGCTTTCGAGAACAACGTGGCCGCTCGCTCCTCCAGTCCATTCAATGGCGACCCTTCTCTGTTGGAAATCACGAAACCATATGTCACTTCATCAGCGTTTAGTCTAGACTACGACTTAATTAGGAATACTGCAACACAAAGGGAAAAAACAATTTACTTAGCTCGCGCAAAACGTCCGAGCTAGAACCACAACGCGGTAAACAAGATAACAATAACAACAACAACAACAAAAAACAAGCCACGTGGCATGATGGGTTGGGTAGTCTGCACGCCTACACCTCCAGCCTCGAAAACCCACCCGGCGTACATCAAGCCGCGTCCCATGGGCGACGAAATCATCGTCTGTGGCGTTGCTCCGTAAACCACGTCAAGATTGAACAAAATTATAGACTACATGACGACCAGTGCTCGCGAGCGCGGGGGCATAAACCCTCACAAACCAGGCGTGAGCTGAACCAATCAGGACTTAGTTTGGGATGCGATGCAACGCCACGACAAGACCAAAGCGGCGGCTACATGTGTCTGCCTTTCTTTGGGCACGTCCCCGCATGGCCCGGCGATGAAATCAGCACTTGACAGTGAGCATGTAGCGGATGCGCTGTTGGCTCTCCTTGTACACCTGCCACAATGTGACCATTTAAGGGGGGGGGGGGGGGAATG